GCCAATATCAGTGATGCAAATAGTTGGTGAGCACTGTACTGATAATCATTGTCCTTAAAAATGTGCTAATTACTTTATTTATATACTGGATAGCTATAGGTAGAAAATTATTGTCAGTGCTAAATAAATGGGATAAATAATCTACATCTAAGGGGGGGGGGTCGGTGAGGTGCTGCTGAGATACCAGATCGCAGTGTTGGAATCTGCAGCGTAATTGTCGATCGAAGTACTGCAGTAGACTGCAGCACGGACTGGTGATGGTTGAACATGTACAGGAATGGGCGGTTCCAAATGCGCTGCTAGGGACTGGTGATGATTGGGCAGGAATGGGCGGTTCCAAACGCGCTGCTAGGGACTGATCATAGCCAGGATGACAAGTGTTGAACTGAGAAGAAGCCCCTCCTGCTGTCCGACATGTAACGTTACAACTGAGTCCGGCTTGAGGAAGGACTCCCGGGTAATATATTATGTTGCCTGCGCCTGAGACGAGGCGAGGTCCAGGACCTCAGAGATATGAACGTGCAACAGGAGTTAGAACATCGACTGACGTGTTGACGATGATGTTTTCTTGAACTAATCATTTCGCAAAGCCCTTATCTTTAAACAACAGCCGACAACAGCAGTGACCTTCACATGTCCGACCTGCCGTAGGACCTGCAGGTCAAGAATTGGACTGCACAGCCACATGAAGGCCTGCAGGGGACTGATTTCCTAACATCTTCGGACACGAAGAAGAAGCCAACAACAACATTATCTCTAAACCTTACAAGTATTGCTTTTAATAGTGCCTTATTTGAAGACCATATGTCTTTATAAGATGACAGCTAGCGCTGCTTCTACAACACACCCAGACAGGCTTGTATGGTCTGCCATGTTGCCACAGATATGAACTTGTCACGTCTCTCCGTTTTAATTACTTCAGAGCTGACAGCAAAACGTACGGCAAGCGAAGCCATTAACCGTGAGAGATGGGTTCTGCCGGCGCGGAGGGCGGGAGACGTGTTACACATTCAAATAACATCCCAAAACCCACATATTACAGAAAATGTGGGATCCTTTGTCTTCCTCTGTCTTCAAAAAAGAAGTCAAACCCTGTAGTTTTTACCAGTAGTTTCTTAGTAGTTATCATTAGTTCTATATGTACTAATTGTCTTTTTGTATACCATGTTTCTTCCGTTCCTGCAATTAGCCCTCGGGCAAGAATTTGCAATAAACAATTAATAACCAGGCTAGCCACATGTCTCCTGCAGTCTCTACTTAGTATGTAACTACTTTCTGCTGTTCTCTCGCTTTAATCTAACATGGGCGCCGTCCCATTTGTAACGGCAACCCCGAGATTGTTACAAATCGTTTGGCGCCATGGTTTAGCTTTGATTGTCAGAAATGGCATGTCCGTGTTCCCGCCAAGTCTCCAGGGTTGTGTCAGTGCATTAACGTCAGCGCTGGAAGCTGTGCGTTTGAAAATTGGCTCTTTCTGTTGTTCTTTCGCTTTAATTATGGTCACAAATGTCAGATCCGTATCGACGGCAAGATTTCCGGGTTGCCCTGTACTTGTGCCACACCGCACTTAACGTCAGCGCTGGAAGCTGTACGTTTGGGAACTGGCTTTTTCTGAACCAGCCGCCGTGCGGAGGCGATTACAGCAATCTGCCCGCTTCCCTGTCCGGCTGGACGGGTCAGGAGAACTAAATACTAGTAGCAGGGTTACGGCTGGAACATTTCCTGTGGCCTAAAACACGGGTTCGGTCTTTTTAATTACCCCCAAATTACCACACTGCTTTCAGGAATGTACAATATTATACTGTCTTCAAAAATGAAGACGTACCGTCCTGCAGAATATTAAGCGTTGTTTTACTGACTTCATGAATTCTCTATTGACACAACAAAAAGGACAGGGAATTTTGTAAGGTCTTTTACAACTAAAGCTAAATACATGTGTGGAAAACGTCATCTTACGTACAGAATATATGTATGCAGTAAAAATAAAGGTTTAACTATTCTCTAACATATGGTCTCTAAGATCGAAACATTCCTTTATGTATTTTGAACACTGTATTGGTTCCACGCGCAAAAGTTGCTGAACTAACCGGTATGTATCCATGAATAATGCATGAGTATAATCATTATAAACTTAACAACACAATACAAGACTCGGCATCTACTGCTATAAAACAAACATGAAACACGGTCACATTCTCCTAGGACGGTCTGTGAGGAACCCGGGCGCCCCCATGCGGCCGTATGATGTATTACAGAAAGGACTCGCACAGGTGCGGAGACCCAATTTGAATGAGAATTGTTAGTAACTTTAGAGTTGAGTGTTTGAGGGAGGGGGGCGAAGAAGCGGCTTGGTGTCATCTTCCTGACCGACGGACAAGCAAAGAGAAGCCAGGAGTTACAGGTAAGGCTTTTTAAAAGTCTTATGTTGGTGAAAAATGGACTTTATCAATGTTCGGGATAATTATGTACTAGATACGCACGTTACAGGTCAGACTACCCTGCCTGTTACATAGCATTGCCATGTACATGTATAGGACTGATCCCTGCATGGCCAGTGTCCTTTTCATTTTCTTACACGAACACAAACTTCGTAGTTCGTGCAGAATCTTGCGGCTTAGTTTTGTACCTTTTACAGTTTATCTTTCTTTGTCTTTTATTGTATATGGATCCCATACTTTATATATGGATGCCATCCTTATGATATCCCCGTGTATAAGATAGGAGTCCTGTATATGACCAGGCCGTATGATATCCCCATGTATAAGACAGGAGCCCTGTAGATGACCAGGCCGTATGATATCCCCATGTATAAGATAGGAATCCTGTATATGACCAGGCCGTATGATATCCCCATGTATAAGATAGGAGCCCTGTATATGACCAGGCCATATGATATCCCCATGTATAAGATAGGAGCCCTGTATATGACCAGGCCGTATGATATCCCCATGTATAAGATAGGAGCCTGTATATGGCCAGGCCATATGATATCCCCATGTATAAGATAGGAATCCTGTATATGACCACGCCGTATGATATCCCCATGTATAAGATAGGAGCCCTGTATATGACCAGGCCGTATGATATCCCCATGTATAAGATACATGTGCGATAGGAGCCCTGCATGATCCGCGTTCTTACGATATCCCCAATGTTTAGCAAAAATACAAAACGTTTGATATAATATTTACTACGTGAACATATTGGAATTATTAGTTTAGCAGATTCAAATTTCTGATTCAATATGACAACTAAATCATATCAAACTATATGATGTAACAGAATAATAGAACAGTGACAGAATAATATACACATTAAAAGGAGTACGACTGCGCCGACACCCTACCACCCCACAGCAAATAGAGGTTATTACAGTAGTGCATGAACTTAACTTAGAATCGCCCATAGAGAGTAAGACTCCTGGATAAACCTGGTACATCAGCCGGAACATTTAGCTACAGCCACGTACATTTAGCTACAGTCCCGTACATTTAGCTACAGTCCCGTACATTTAGCTACAGCCACGTACATTTAGTTACAGTCGTTAATTTAGTTACAGCCACGTACATTTAGCTACAGCCACGTACATTTAGCTACAGCCACGTACATTTAGCTACAGCCACGTACATTTAGCTACAGTCCCGTACATTTAGCTACAGTTCCGTACATTTAGCTACAGTCCCGTACATTTAGCTACAGTCCCGCACATTTAGCTACAGTCCCGTACATTTAGCTACAGCCACATACATTTAGCTACAGTCCAGTACATTTAGCTACAGTCCAGTACATTTAGCTACAGCCACGTACATTTAGCTACAGTTCCGTACATTTAGCTACAGTCCCGTACATTTAGCTACAGTCCCGTACATTTAGCTACAGCCACGTACATTTAGCTACAGCCACGTACATTTAGCTACAGCCACGTACATTTAGCTACAGTCCAGTACATTTAGCTACAGCCACGTACATTTAGCTACAGCCACGTACATTTAGCTGAAGTCCAGTACATTTAGCTATAGTCACGTACATTTAGCTACAGCCACGTACGTTTGGCTACAATGCTGCACAATGCACAGTTTCCCGGTAGAAGGAACAGCTGTGACGTCACGCGGAAGCACCCCTACACGGAAGAGCGTGGAGACGTAAGCCGCTACGTCTGAACTGTATCTTCTTCCTAGTTCCGCACAAAGCCCAAGTTGATGTTACCGGCGGGGTCTCCGTGTTTGCTGGCGGCCATCTTGGCCCTGCGGCGCCGCGCGCACCACAGGCAGACGGCCGCGGCACACAGGGCGGGGTATGCCAGACCGAGCACGCAGGCAATCACCGACCACAGCAGGATGGAGTCTTCAGCTGGGGGACGGTCAAGTGCACACGCATCAGGGCAGACACACGCACAGAATTAGGACAGACAAACGCACAGAATCAGCACAGACAAGCGCACAGAATCAGCACAGACACACGCACAGAATCAGGACAGACAAACGCACAGAATTAGGACAGACAAACGCACAGAATCAGCACAGACAAGCGCACAGAATCAGCACAGACAAACGCACAGAAGCAGGACAGACAAACGCACAGAATCAGGACAGACAAACGCACAGAATCAGGACAGACAAACGCACAGAATCAGGACAGGCAAGCGCACAGAATCAGGACTGACAAGCGCACGGAATCAGGACAGACAAGCGCACAGAATTAGGACAGACAAGCGCACGGAATCAGGACAGACAAGCGCACAGAATCAGGACAGACAATCGCACGGAATCAGGACAGACAAACGCACAGAATCAGACATTGTATATGTCGTATCCAGAACCGTGCTTAATCTAGAACCAGGGTCAGGCAGAGTTTCCAGAACCGTGCCTGGGGCAAATCTGCGTTCTTGGATACCGCAGACTATCCAGAACCGGGCCTGATCCTTGCAATGTTCACTCACCTTTCTCATGGACGATCAGAATCGGTCCTTGTTTCATCAGAGCCTGTCTTTTGTCGTCACGTGACCGCCTTCTCCTGTTCCTGATTGGAGAGTTCTGGATGACGCAGCCCTGCGCACATCGGGACTGGGAGTCGTCCTCGATACACACGATCATCCGGCAGTGGACGTACACCTGCAAACAACAACGTCAACAATGTCAGCAACAAGAACAGCAACAATTAACAACAATCTACAACAACAACACGATCATCCGGCAGTGGACGTACACCTGAAAACAACAACAACGTCAGCAACAACAACG